TTAAGTATGTTGATTTTTAAATTGGTAGTTATGGTATCCCTTAATATATGTAGATTAATGCTTAATGTGACACACGTATACTTGCTTTGTAATCTAAAATAGAACTATAGGTATTAATTAAAAATATTAAGTCTTGTGACTAGATTTATTTTTGCATCATAAATTGAAGTAATATTTACTACTATAAGAAAACATCTATCCAGATCAGTTAAAGCTGAATTTATGGAGAGTTCAGTGAAGTATTATTTGAAGCTGTGATTCTCTATTATCAAAGTCCAGTCTGATGTTAATGTATGTTTTGCAAAGAAAAGAAGAAAGTTAATAGGGTAGCAGTGGGTGGAGCAAGTAGCTATGAGTAACTGGAATAGTTCTTGTATGCTGAATTAGATGTAGTCTTTGCCTTTTAGATCAGTGATTAAACTGAGCGTCTCATGCACAATGCCTATTTATATTGTGGGATCTGTCCTGAGCTCTGTTCTAGTTTTGTTGTAATTGAGTTAATGTAATAGAAATAATTGTTAATTTTTCTCTGCTTCTGGCTTTAATTTCATGGCAGAGTAAGTCTGCATGTGGCGTGCCTGTAGCAGGTGCCTGGCTTTCTGCTGTTATGTTTTACGAATTGCATTTGATGATTGAGTGTTGCGGATGGATTTCTTGATAGTGGAAGGTATCCTGTGTTCTCTGTGCTTTGCAATTTATTCAGTGTAGTTGTTGAAACACCTTGATTCTTTATTATTTAACATTTATCGTTTTCTTCAAAACTAATTTTAAATTACTTAAATTGTTTAAACCAATAAATGGCATGAACTTAATTTTTGCATCTGTAGGAGATTGAACCGAAGACAAAATTTCAGGCTCAATACCAGCCTTGGGTTTTTTCCTGGGCCTTTCAGACTGTTGTTGTCTGTGTCTTAAATCATTCTCAAAAGTATCAAACAATGAGTATTATTCAAAAGTTTCCAGGAAATACACACATCCTTTTTTTCAGCCTGTAAACAAAGTCAAAATTGGGGAAAACTTGAACTGTTCCAGGAAACAGGCCTCCCTGTTTGTTAGCAACCTCATTCTTTGCATGTGCTTTCCAAATGTGCTCCACCCCTACCCCTTGAAGACATTTTGTCAAGCCTTGTTGAAGTTTCAGTCTGGTTTCTGCCATTCTTCAACAATAAACTCTATGGAGTGGAGCCTGATTTTTTGGGGGCTAAGATAGTGCAAGTAAGGACTAATGGGGAACATACCAGGTTTTAATCAGTATAAAAGAGCATCTAAGCTAGAGCTTTGACTGTGTTAAATCCATTTATGAACATTTTGGGCTCAGTCAGGGTTATGCCAATTGTTTCATGAAATGTAGCATCATTTTCCATTAGATGAGTGACATGAAGAAAAATGTGAAAACACTCAAGTCTAGGCTTTCTAGCTGAACCTGTGCTCTGCATATACCCTCCATCTGACTTGAGGCAGGGGTGGGAAGAAAATCTTCCAGTGAAATCTGCTGGATTTTTCATTCTCTCAGCTGTTAGAGCTGATCTTGGACTGTGAATTTTCTGAAATCCTTCTGTTATCACAGATGCTGGTAAACCTGTGTTACCGCGTTGTTACTGTTGGTTTTAAGATGTTTGTTGCCGTGTGTCAAGGCAACTCAGGGGTGCCTGTTAGTTTTTTAGGTTTGTTTTTTTTTTTTAGTTAATTCATCATTATTGTTCTCACAGAAACAGAATTTTTTGAAAGCAAATCTAAGCTAACAAGACTTAAGGCTTGATTCTGCTAAATCCAGGTTCGTAAGACTGAAAGGAAAAAGGAGTTTGATCAGCTGTTTTAGAGAAGGCAACCTAAGATCTGATCCATTATCAGTCACTAAATTAAATTCACAGTTCTCTGAAGGATCATCAAGAATCACAGAAGAGGTCAGGTTGGAAGGAATGTCTGGAGGGCATCTAGTCCACCCTGCTGCTCAGAGTGGGTCCAACTAGGTAAGGTTGCTCAGGGTTTTCTCCTGTCAAGTTTTGAATATCTCCAAGGATAGAGACTCCACAGCCCCTCAACGCCCCCGTTCTGGTATTTGACCAGCCTCATCATTAAAACAGATTTTCATTGTAAGTGATGGGAATTTCCTGTGTTGCAACCTTGCCTCTTGTCCTGTGCATCTGCAAGAAGAGTCTGGCTCTTCTCTGTACCCTCTCATTCGGTAGTTGGAGACAGAAATAAGGTCTCCCCTGAACTGTTTTTTCTTAAGCCGGAACTAACCCAACCAACATCACTCCAATGCATTTAAACATTCCTATTTATTCAAATGTTAGATTCTCATCTGTTCTTGAAAATTTGTTTTTAAACAAAGTTGAAACATTGTTTTTAAATAAGGTTTGTTTCTTGCTCTGTGCTTCTCTCTCAAGACTGTGCATGGTATTGTATGCAATACCTGTACAAATATGGAAAATTTCTCAGAAAATCCAATATACCGTGCATCTTCCTTTGCTCTTCAGTAATTACATTCATGCAGCAGCAAAATCACCATTGCTAGTGGTGGTATTCACTTCTTACCTTTTAAATTCTTTTTGATCACTTGTCTTACTTGAACTTCTCTGTGCTAAACATCCTTGTTACTCTTTTTTTTTTAAATGAAAAGCTGGTGCCTTTTGGAAGTCAAACATATCAACCGTAGAGGATGTTGTCAATGAAATATATTCTTGCAAGCTGAAATGTGAGTTTGTATCTTGGTATTTAAGAGGCAGCATTTCACTGAGGCAATAATAATCTGCCTTGTTCTTAAAATGAGTGTTCAAGATTGAAACGTAAAAGGATCAATTCCTGCTTTGTGGAATTCTGTAGACTGGATCGTAGTGCAGTGATGTGGAACCAGCTACTTGCAACCATGGATCCCCTCTGAAGGCCTGTTTTTATTTTTATTGTTCCCTCTGCTGTAAAGAAGTCCTCAACTGAGGCGGGTAGAGAGGCAAAAGTAAGAGTTCAGCATTTATAATTTTCTTATCTCGGGTTGTGTTTAAACTGGTTTTGAAAGGAGTAATTTGGCTAGCGCTTTGTGAGAGCGCTTACTGATGCTTTAGGCTGTAAAAAACACTTCCTGCAAACTATGTACAAATGAGAACTGATGATGCTTAAGTTAGGGGCTTGAGGTTACTGACCTCTATGCAGGTATGACTCAGTTTAGCAGAAGGATTAGTCTCGTAGGATACACAAGCCAGCATGAGTGCTAAAGAAGATGGGGTATGCTGAGCATAGAGTTTCAGTCAGGATTGTGGCCTTGTGTTTAGGAGCTCTTTCTTCACAGAAAGACCTGAGCGACTAGGGCTTTCTGAATCCCTTCACCCTCCCCAAATGTATTTGGGATGTTTAATGTCTCTGTGAGTCTCTCTCTTCTCTTTTTAAATTGGAGTGGTTATGAATCATCCAATTTCCTGCTGCAAATAAAGCAGAAAAATCCTGAAGTAATTGCGTGACTAGAATTAACACAGCTTTGCATGAAAGAAGCATGCCAACATCAGCAGACAGAGGTGATGTATTGGAGCCTTACAAATAATTGTTGTTAGGTGTTCTTCCAAACAATGAAAATACCCACTTAAACGGCTGCAGAAAGTATGGCTTAAGCTTTTACCAGCATTGTGTTCAGGTAAAAGGGGGCCATGAAAATCTGTAGTGGTTCACTAATAAGATAATATTCTGTTCTTACCCCTCTTTAACTATGGTTTTGATAGTAAGAGGTGCTGCAAATGGAGCCAGACGTGCTGAAATCTTGCTGCCCTTGCCATTGATAGAGTTGTCAAGGGGGGAAGAAAATGGCTGGAAGACCACAGTCGTGGTCTCAAGAGTAGTGACTGGAAGAAGTCTAGGGAGTGTTGCTGCACTCACCCAGGAGCTGGAACGAATTAAGTGTGGGTGGAAGGAGGGCACTCAAGGCCTGGAAAGTATCTGTAGAAATGCTGTGTGTTAGGTGTGAGAGAGTCTGAACAGCTTTATTTTGCTGTTGGGGTAGTACTTAGACTCCTTCAGCTGTGTCCCATTAGACATGCTTTACAGTAGACTCTATGTGCATGTAGATGTCTGCAGTAGAAGGAAAACATGTTACACCAAAATACACTGAGTATTAGCCTGCAAATTGGCTGAAATAATGGCATACTACCTTTAAAAACATTAAAGAGTGTTTTTGCTTAAACCCCCCGCAAAGTTTATGCTGCTTTCTTATTCTCTATTTGGTGAACGTTAGGAGGGTCGGGATGTTTCTGAAGCGCTGTCTCCTCATGGAGTAGAGTCTGAGCTCCCATCAAGGGGAGCGAAGTAAGCGGAGTGGCAGTGGGGACAATTTCTATTTCTGATTTGAATTATACTCCTTTCCATGTAAGGACAGCATGAATCACTGCTTTTTGTCTACACCCTGAAAAATGTTTTTCTGTCCGCCCACCTGTTTGGACACTATAAGAGCTAATACTTCAAAATAGACAAATGTTTGTATAGTACGGAAGCTTAAAATGCAGTGACCAAAAGTGTCTTTGAAGGAAGAAGCCCAAAAGAATGTGAACCAAAATTACTGTAGGCAATCTAAGGGCTTCGCTTTTATTTTAAAAGTGGTTTATGAGGTTAAATGAAGTCCATCGTGATAGTAGGCTGTAAAGATGTGTTATTTGCTGTTGACCTATCTCTTGGAGATATTAAAAGCTATGAAAATACTGAATAGAAGAGTTCCAGCTGTTGTATTAAATGTATGTCCTGTTCTCAGTGCATTGAATTGCAAATGGATACAGCTCCCTTCTACCAAAAACCCCAAACTTAAGATAATTTGGCAAGTTGTACAGTGTACGATACACAATAATGGGTATTAATGTGTGGTTAATGAACCATGTATAATAACCTCATAGACAATTGACACTCATCTGTTTTAATCATATGGGGTGACAATATTTGTATTAAAAACTAAATTATATCGTACTATCACCTTGAATTCCAGTTTTATTTCTTCTGTCATTTTTGGTTTATTCCTCTTATGATGAATGTTCCCTTTGAATTTCAGAGTAATTGGTCTGGAAGCTCCCATGATTCAGTCCAATCAAGGAGGGTGGTCATTTCTCACAACATGGATAAAGCACTGAAAGAAGGTGAGTCTTAACTTGGACAAAGGAGCATTAGACTCTAAATATCTCTTGTCCTCTTAGCAAACCATGACTGTACAATATTCCAACATTCTAGAATATGATCCTGGTTTATTCCTTGGTACAAAATAAGAGTGCAAGGTCTTGGTCTTCCCAAGAGATCCACTCTAAGTAATGTGTTGTTGTTTTTGTAATTTAACTGATATCTTGTCATTTTAGTGGCTGTTTTTTACAGAAATACAGTAAAGTAGTCCTTAATACTTGTGCACAAAACAAAAGGGTAACATTTCAAAGATTCTTGATTGGGTTTTCCTGAACTGATAAACCCTGTAGACTCTTGCAAACAGTCTTCCCATTTAGTGCAATTCTTGCCATGAAAACTGAATCTAAAATCAACATTTGTATTTCCGGCTGATACAGTCTTATGAAATCTGTGGATCACCAGTACAGTCACTGGGCTTTAGATTGTAAAATGTGAACTATGATCATATGGATTTAAAATACCTCGTTTACAATTCTTTAAAATAAAGAATAATTACTATTTCTGCACACATTTTTTCAACTGACTCCTGGTAATACAAAATATTGTAGAACTTGGGATAGTGTCAGAGTTTTGAGTAAATCAAAAAATTTTTGCTTCAAAGATTATGCTAGGTTGGAACTTAAAGACAACTGGGGGGGGGAACCTGGCTTGCATATTAGAAAAAGAAAGCACATGAAGAGTTGTGTACTGTAGCTTTTAAAATATATTTCTAAAATTTGATGCCATTTCAGTTTTTTGTAAATATTTTATCTAATTTTGAATGTTTTTTCCTTTAAGATTTCTTTGCAGCACTTGTTTTTTTCCTTTTTTCACATCTGGAGAGTATATTTTAAAATCAACATTGCTTTAAACAGGTTGGTTGTCTTATGAAAACTTCTTGGGATGTGTAATGTTTTTAAAGTTATTTTTATGAATAGCTGTTAGCAGGATATGTAGCTAAAATATAAAATTAAACACTTTGTCATGTTTCTGTGAGGGTGAACTATTGTAACGTATCGTAATTTGTTTTTAGGCACCACTTTCCTCTGGAATCTGTCTGATTATAGGATTCCTGATGACATGCAAAGGATAGCGGAGTCTAAACGTAACTTGTTAGTGCTTGTTTCATACATGTAATTTGCTGTATTCTTACGTGTACTGTACATTCTGGATAACCTGCATTGAAGTTTGAAATGAAGCCTTGACATAATCGGCACAGAGTCAGAGGTAGTGGGGTTATCTGGAGACAGACAACAGGTATTGTGGAATACTGGGGAAGGATAGTTGTGTTACATTTCCCTCCTGTTACTTGCACATGGGAGTAACTCGTGTCTAAAAATATGTGAGCTGTCTTCATTTAAGGTATTTATCCCACAGATATCATTTAGTTGGATGCATGAGTCCATCCTTACTCAGTAAGGCTGAAAGAAAGTTACCAATATTTAAGTGATTCATTTTTCAGAGTTGAGGACCTTCTGTTGTGACAGCTTACTTGCCTTTCTGCTATTTCTTTTCAGTGTAGCTTTTACGCTCCATTCTCACTCTGAATTTTGGAGAGCAAACTTGTCAGATTTGGTTGTATTTCTTCCAGACCTAAGTGACTAATGAAGCCAACTTCTCCTCCGTTATGCAGTTTGACAAGGATGAGACTGTACTTTTCACTCTACCACATGTAGACTTAAGCAAGCTTTTTGGTTTTGGAAGGCATCCAAGTCAACTTAAGTTTGAGATATTGAATGAATCCCAAAAAGAAACATTTTACTTTTTTATTAGAGTAAAATGATCAGTGTGTCTGAAAATAGACAGGAGACATTCCTTGCCCTGTGACAGTTCTGAAATTTGTAGTTGTCTCGATATTATGAATGCTTTTTTTACAAGTTCATGGCTAAATAAAACTTTATTACTAATGATATAAAAAATATTGTCTGTATTTCTGTTTCATTAGTGCCATACTCTAATGCTAATCAATCTTACACTGATGAGGATTAAAGTATTTGTAAATCCCAGAAATTTTTGCCAACTTCTTGCTGTCTAGATCTAACATGCTGTTCAACAAAATGCCTTAAAAAGTCTCATTCATTTAATTAAGAGATGTTCAGTTCTCCTGAGGTTTTAATCTTGGGGACCAGTTCAGGCTCCTACTGCCACTTGAGGTTTTGAGTAGGTGTTGTCAGATTATCACAGTTGATGGTGGTTTGCAGTATTTTTTTAATCAGATTTTACTTGTCTTTGTGTTACCTTAGAGATGCAAGGATAACATTTTTGGAGGAGCCAGCATCGCCTTATTTCAGAAATGCTATTGCTGGTTATGAAGAGACAGCCATTTGGTTAATTCTGAGTTCTTCACCTGTTTTTCATCATCTGTGTAATTAAGTTTGCCAAGGGTTTACTGTTAGTTGCTAACTATCTTGCACCCCTCAAGAATTGCCTGTTGACTGTTATTCAGGCACACCGTACTTTTGCTGGTGTTACAGGCAGTCTGTGTGGACTTTTCTCTCTGGGTTTAGAGTGTCTCTCCATTACTGCACTGTTCCCTGAGGTTCTGTGGTGTGTCTCGCTTGACAAGCTGTCACTTGCTTTACTGCATTTTTCCTGATGTTCTCATCATAATCTGTTAATGTAGTTGGAAGGATAGATATCAGTGATCATCCTTAGTTTTAACTGAAGGAGTCATGTATGTTTTCATTTCAACCATCAGTCTTATTTCAATAAACTTAAACATTATGGTGCTTAGTTTTCCTAGGATGGTCATTGGCTGATAATAGTTGCCCGTGCCTTGGATAGCTTCTCGTCTTGCCAAAGCCAGTGTAACAGAGTTGTTGGGAATTGTCTTTCGACAATGTTGGTCACTAAGTGCCACCAAGAAGGAACTCCTGTTTACGTTGGTTTACAGCTCAGTTCTAAACTTCTTTCCTATCTCCCATTGACAACAGAGTAGTATGAAAGGATGGTGCTTCACAGTGCTGCTTCATTCTTAATTATAGCAAGCTTGCATAAGCTGTAGATACAAGGTGAGGGAAAGCTGTGAATTAGCCCTGCTACTGTGTGGTGTGTTCTATGACATCTAAGTGCTCAAAATCGGAACAAGTGTACCGTTATAAAAAGATTTTCCTTGTTGAATATGGCAGAAAGAGAAGGCCTTTTAGTTGTAAACCCCTGAGTCCCTTTTTCAGCTGGTAGTACTTGAGTCACTAACACAGAAGTGTGTTTTTTTTCAGTATTTTTCATGCTTTTTCGTGTTAGATTGATTTGATTCTTGTTTGCCCCTCATTTATATTACGCAAAGAAAAGATGACCCACTTTTTTACAAATACTTTTAGCCTTTTAATGCTTCCTGTCGCTTACCTGGTAAGCGTTTCACATTTTCAGCCCATATCATATGTTTAGGAACATGTCTCTTGAACATGAGAGACTGTGCTCAGTCAGACTTGTGCTGCTGTTGCGCAGCGTACTGTTTGGGCTGAGGGCTGTAGCTGTCAGTAGATTTATCTGCCGTGTGTGTAGCCGGTTTCCCAGGAACTGAATTTCATCTTCCATTTTTTATTGCCCCATATCCTGTGGTCTTTTTGTTTTTCTTCACAGTCAGTCTTTGTCTCTACTGCTTTAGTAGTGCCAGGAAAACTGGTCTCCATATTACTTACCTGCTTTACTGGATCATTTATGAGTAAGTAAAACGGCACAGGCCAGAGCACAAATCGCAGCAGAACTCCACTGGTGAAATTATTCTGCTGTGAAAATTGACTATTTATTCATATCCTGTGTTTCTTAGCTCTTAAAATATTTCATGCCAGAGAGCCACCTCTTCTTTCATAGTGGTTTATCTTCCTTCAATCTTGTGTTGAGGTGACCTTGTTGGAAATATTTCGGGAATTTAATTAGATTGTACCTGTGGATCAGATCTTGCCTGTGTGTGTTCTTGTTGACCCCTTAGAAGAACTGTTAGGGATGTAAGGCAGGACTTTCCTTTATAAAAGTTGTGTTTTCCCAATCTATCTCATTTCCCAGCTTAAGATCTACACATTGACATTTAGAAAAAAAATTTGCAGTAGCTTCTGCCACTCTATTTGAAAAGCTGTATTTTTTTTCTCTCATAGCTCTCAAAAAATGAGTTGTTTGGGTCCAAAATATGAGCAAGACTTAATTTGAATTCATGTTCTCTGTGCTATGGGATTCAAACACTTGGAGCTAAGAACTCTTGGCAAAGGGTACATGGGCAAAACTATTTGAACAGAAATTTGTCTGATTTTTTTTTTTAAATGCATTTCCTAGATCTTTTTAACACTTTTTTTTTCTCTATGGTTTATATATTTGTAAATTTCCATGTTTTCTCTGCATGTTCATAATAATTATTAAAGAAGCAAATGTCAAGAAATTTTAATAAAAACAAACCAATGTGGAATGGGAGACTGTCAGGGTATGATCCCTTTCGCACATCCGTGCACAATGATAACATCTAGTCTATTAAAGAAACATGTCAGTTTCATAGAGTTTGAATAATGCTGTAAAATGCAAGTAAACCAAGAAATGCTAGAGTCTTTCCGAGCACCAACTTTAACAAGAGAACTGAAATCTCTGAATCACTATTGCTAGTGACTGGGGCAGGTTCCCAGTCACTGAAGTCTGGGCATTTACACAGCATTTTGCCAGCCTTTAACACCATGGTCTAAATAAAGATTTAGTGGGAATGAGAAACTTCAATAAATAAAGATAATGTTAAATATAAAACCTCATCATCTTAATTTGTATTGTGTAGGTAAAACATAATAAAATCTAAAATACAATAAGTGAATAACGGCCTTTATCTCTTTAAATTTAAAAATTAATGTCTTGGAAATGATAGAGTTGCATATTCAGATTACTTATTAGTAATTTTAAGGGAGTTAAATATAGGGGCTTTAATATTTTAGTTTGAGTTTTGAGGATGAAGATAAGGCTCCTCCCCCCACCCTGAATTGGCTTTTGGCAGGGGGGAAATAGTAGTAGCTATAACAAATAACTAAGCATTTAACATTTACTTCTATAGAACAGTTCTTTGCCAGGTACTTAACAGTGGTATAGTCTGTCATCTTTTTCATTAAATTTTTACTGAAAGTATTTTTCTTCAAGTATAGCTTATGATAACCATATCATGCATGTTAAATCTAGTGTTGTAGTAGCACAGCTTTATAATAACGCTTCTTGGCTGTTTGGTGGTTTCCTCATGCAGGATCCTAACACAGTTCATAGTGATGTTGCATTTCTATTTTACAGATTGTGATGCTTGCTGTTGTAGAATAACTCAAGCCAGAGTTGTAGCTATACCTTCTCTTCTGTTGTCCATGTAGTCACAGGAGAGTTTTGGATTTGACCATAACTTAATGTAATGGTTCTGGTCTCTCCAGTGCTTTCAGAAAAGGATATTTACTTCTTGTTTGAAACTTGGAAGTCTATGTATGCATTTGCATAGGGACAGTATTTCAGGTCTCTCTTTTAATGGTACTTTGAGAAAATGGGTAGGCATTTAGTCCTTGTTATTCAGATTTCTATGTTATTTTTCATAAAGTTGGGTAATGAATGTTAGCAGTATAAAAAATGTCTAATATGAAGCTCTGCAAATTGTAGATTTGAGGCCAGTCTGACCCACTGGCTCTTGTGGTGCCACTGAACCTCTGAATGAATGAATGTGGAAGAAGAATGGATAGCAGTTACTGTAGACTTGTGTGGGGTTAGTAATGAAGCAAGGATCTAGAGGGGTGTCCTCGCTAACCTCCACACAAGCTTCTGGCTCTCTATTCCCAACACTCTTCTAGTTTACAGTCTTGAAAAAAGAGTAGTTGAAGAGGCTCAACTTCATTCACGCAGAAATGACTTTCAGTCAGATTATAACAACTGGGGACTTGGATCTTCTGAACTAATTTAGAAAACCCAGTAGAAGTTTCTACAGTTTTGCACCAGACTCATTGCTCTCACTGTATCTGATTCGATCAGAAGAAATTTGTTTCGTGTTTGTGGCAGCTGAGTTAGTGGTAGTAAGGTATTGTCCTGAAAGCGTGTTCTGCTCTTCTTTTTATTCCTTTCTTTTCTTCTGACCAGTTGTTTTCAATGTTTTAGAGAACGTGCAGTGTAAAAATTAATGAGAGTAGATGCATGAGCAGATTCCTCCTCTGAAGGAAGCAAGCTGCGCTCTATAAAATTCTTACATTTGTTTTCTGTATTTCTTTAGAGTGCTGAAAGAGGCACCAGCTGCATCAATAGACATGAAACTAAAGCCGCAGCAGTGCATCATGGCCAGGATGACACATATGGATGAGGCAGTGTCTTACCCCAGCATAGACGGCTGTTAGTGTCTTTGGCTGGTGTCCTTTTTAAATTTTTTTTTTTTTTAAGCAAAGTCCAAAAAGCTGTCTCATTGCTCATTTCGGCATACATTCTGGGCTCTAAAGTACCCCGAATTTTATAGAGAACAGCATGGTTAAACTTGTGATGCAGGAAGCGCAAAAAGGCTCAGAGGTGACAAGGAAACTATAGAAAGGATGTAAAGGAAGAGAGTTATGAAAGGTAGGTGCAGGAAAATATGGTTTAAAGTAATCCATTTAATATGTTGAAAGTGTGTAACTGGCAGAGAGAAACGCAAGTGAAGTATTTCATACTTGCACGGCTTAATTTTTGGTGATGACTGGTGATCTTTTGTCTTTAGTTTGGTATTGCCACTAGATTTCATGGTTCTTTCATGTTGATACACCTAGATGGAGAACTGTACCATCACGCTGCTGTGCCTGAGCAGGAGTCTTCCCGCTGTAATAGATCTTGCTTCAGGTATTTCAACTGGAAGTATAGTAAAGTTGCAAGAATTGTGCCCTCATAATACTTTACTAATTAGCATTGTTATATGTTTGAATGTTGTGCTTTACCAGAGCAGAGAGACTTAACGTTGGATGTGATGGTGATTATGGAGTGAACAAGGAACTGAGCTCCTTTTGGAGAGGAGTTGCCTAAAAATACAGTTATAAATTAAGGATTGGTGGGAAAAGATATGTGTTCTGAAAGATTATATAGTCTAAGGGATCAAGATGATACAAGTTTTACTCTTGTGCTCTTGTTTTGTAGAGTTCTGTCCAACAAATATTTGTAGGAGCCACCACTCTACACCATGACTTGGCTTCTTAGGCAAAAGATGCTGAAGAAATATGCTACTTTGCACCCTTGCGTTCATTTTAGGGTAGAGAGGGTGTCTGTAAGAAAATCTGAAAAAGTAGGTCATTATCTGTGAGTGATGATAAAAACAAGTTCCACAATACAGTATGTCTGAATGCGCTTGAGAAATTACAGGACTCTTACAGAGTAGATGAAAAGGAAGAACCTATGTTGTGATTGGCTTTCCACAGCATTGCAGGTATTGCAACAGAAGAGAGTAACCAAACTATAAAAAAGGTGGTTGCAGAAGGACGTGGGGACAGCTGTGGAAAAATAGATGCTTAAAATGTGTATTGACTTGAGATGAGTAATAAACTTCAGTTTTTAAAATGCTGTTCCCAATTGCTCTTCAGTGTATCAAGGGATTATTCTTCAGCTTGCTTATCAGAAGACCACTACCTTTTATAACTATTGTTATTACTTTGTATTATTTGTGGATGGCAGTTTTCCATGAAATATGATTTCTTCTATTTCAGAAAAGTAATGAAATCGGATATGTTTCAACATTGGAAGTTCCCATCCTGCAATATGGCTCTGCATATTTTTTTTTCTCTCCTGAATCAGAGAAAAGACTGAAAACTCGAAAACTTCTATTTATTGATTGATTGAAATGTTTTTCTGAATAATTAATTTAAAAGCCTTGAAATGACTTAGTAAAAGGCTTTTAACTTTATATTTCAGCATACTTAGTGAAGTGACTCAGTTTCTTTCTTTATAAACCTGAGGAATTTGATTTATGAAGCATCTGACTAGAAAATTTTATGAATTTTAGCCTTTTCTTTTGAAATGTTTTTAACAAGGTGATGTAGGATGAGGTCTGCTAGTATTTCAGGCAGGCAAAAGTATTCAACTTAAGCTGTTCTGCTATTACTGTATTGTTAGTTCACTGTCACAGTGCCAGGGAGCTTTTTATAGTTTACTAAGCTGCCAAACAAACAAATTCTATGGAAGTGGAAAGTAAGAAATAGCGGAGTCACATGACTACTTTGCACCACGGGCTTACCCTGACAAATGAGATGTACTTTTGATATAAAAAGTCTGGAATCAGGATGGAAGCTGCTCAGATTATCAGGCATGCAACTTACTTTCCCCCTTCTTGTTCAGTTATCCCTCTGGTAGATGTGAACTGACTCCTCCTTCCACCCCAGGTTTTTCCCTGTCTTGTTGTAGCTGCTAAACATGGCTCGTGCGTGCTCCCTGAACACCTCCTCCTACCTCCGAGACCTCCAGGGACATCTGCTATAGTGAAACATCAGTAAAACTGGTGGCGCACAAATGTTGTCAAAAAGAAAAGTCAGAATGGTAGAAGATGGTGTTGCCATGGGACTTGCAATTACAGTAATCTTGGTTATTGCTTGTAGATGTGGTTTGGAATACTCTGTCATTTTGGAAGTTCATGCTGTCTCGCTAATCTACTTGTTCTCTCTTATGATCCTATAATTTACTTTCTGCGGTGTTGTTCAGTATTGTTTGTGTCTTTTGAAATCCAAAAATCTTAACCACCTTCCCTTTTAACTGTGACTTTGGAGTGGAGACTGTTGAATTCCTATGTAAAGAAGGCTGGTTTCAGTCTGTAACAGCCTAGACACAGTCAGATTATGTGATAGTTCGTATAACCAAATCCACTGTTGAGAGACAGGTATTAGTTTGAGGTTTGTGTGTAGCTAGTAACCTGACTGACTGAGCAAATCCACTTACAGGCTTTGCTTGCAAAGTGACCTCCAGTAACCTGTTAGGTGCAGATTTCTGTAACTTCGCCAACCTTACTTTCTTTGGCAAGAATTTAAAACTCAAAGAAGAAGATATGAAACCTTTTACCCATCTAATTTTTGAGGAGAAGGGTGGAGAATTACGTTTTTCCTATCTTGGTGTGCCTTCCCCTCTCAAAGTTTTTGCTATTTATTGTTTTGTTTCTCCTTTCAGTGTTTGACTACAGCTATAGAGATTACATCCTGTCCTGGTATGGGCAACTCAGCAGAGATGAAGGGCAGCTGTACCAGCTGCTATCTGAAGACTTCTGGGAGATTGCCAAGCAGCTGCGACAGAGGCTGAGTCACATTGATGTAGTTAAAGTTGTCTGCAATGATGTAGTGAAAGCTTTACTCTCACACTTCTGTGACCTTAAAGGAGCCAATGCCAGGTAAAAACAAAACTCTGCATTTCACTGGAATTTTCTGCTTTTCTCTTTCTTTCAGATGTGCTATATCAAAGCAATGAAGAGTGTAACACTTTTGTAGGCAACCGATAAAGAAAATCATTCAGGCTTATTACCAGTTTTGGAGAACAAGCAGGCTTCAGGGCATCCATAAGACCTGTGGAAGGAAACACTTGTCTTCCTTTTCTCAGAGTTCGGATTCACTGCTGTTTCAGTGTCATCCTTGAATCCTTTGCTCATGGTAGGAGGTGGGCTGTGTGAGCAGTTCCTGCAAGTAGTGTGAACCTGCAAGGGAAAGGAGAGGTGCTGTCAGAGCAGTCAACAGACCAGAAGATAGTTATTTGCACCCTTCCCAAAATAGCACCAGCGTTAATTCCATTCAGTTTCCCATTTCTTCTAGCCCTGGGAGGCAAAGCCTTGTGGTTTCCATAAGTGGCCTGTCCTGCAGTAACAAGATTTTTCTACTGAAAAAATTGTTGGCTGGATTTTCTTTCTCTGGTTATCTTGCTAATTCCGTGAATTTTCTTTTTGGCAAGGCTCTCTTTATCCACGTAAAAAGGTCAGCTGTCCACTAAATGCTAGAGTTGCACCCAAATTGTAATTGCAAATATGAACTCTTAGCCTATGCAGTTCCCACATCTGAATGCACAATTTGTGTAATTGTGCATGAAATTCCAGCTTATGTCTGCACTTAGCTGCATTTCAGTTATCCTCTGGGTATTATCCTAACTGAAATATGCTTTGGTCATTCAGACTTAGACATTTTATGCTATGAAGTTGTTTTGCCTACAGTTAGATCCATATATTTTTAACACCCCTTCAGAGAAAAAAGATCAACTGTTTTCTGTCAGTGACCAGTCTGTGTTGCCATTCACACTTCCTTCTGTTCTGGAGCAGAAGATAGAGTTAATGTATTTGTGATAGATGCCGGCTTTATGTAAGCTAACGTGTAGGAAATAAAGACAGAAAGGAAACGAAAGTGTGGTTTCATTCAGGAAAAGAAGAAATAAAGGTGTATGCACATTGCAGTAAATCTTGCATTGGATTCCAGATACTACTTTCTTTCAGCTCTGGAATGTGGTAGAAATCTCTTGGTCAGGTAAAGCTCCTAAGTGTGCTCCCTGATTTTTAAGCATTATGCTTGCACTTGCTCTTTATCACAGTAAAGCGCTTGTTTTTGGGAAGAGTTTGATATGAACAGTTAAAGGATGAGGATGGTATATTTTTTTTTAAGTGTAAATGTTTTCCTCTTTGAAGCTGGGGACATAGAATCTACAATTGCAGAATTATTAATTATTATTAATGCTGATTCTCGATGAAGTTTCTTATTGTCATGGTTTAACCCCAGTTGGCAACTAAGCACCACACAGCCGCTTGCTCCCCCTCCCTGTGGGATAGGGCAGAGAATCGAAAGAGTAAAAGTGAGAAAACTCGTGGGTTGAGATAAGAACAGTTTAATACTTGAAATAAAATAATAATGATAATTAAAATACTGTAGTGAAAAGTAAAACAATGAGAGAGAGAGAGAGGAACAAACCCCGGGGGGAAAAAAAGTGATGCAACTGCTCACCGCCCACCGACTGATGCCCAGCCAGTTCCCGAGCAGCGGCCCCCCCAGCCAACTCCCCTCAGTTTATATACTGAGCGTGACATCACATGGTATGGAATATCCCTTTGGCCAGTTTGGGTCAGCTGTCCTGGCTGTGCCCCCTCCCAGCTTCTTGTGCACTTTCTCTCTAGCAGAGTATGGGAAGCTGAAAAGTCCTTGACTCAGTATAAACACTGCTTAGCAACAGCTAAAACATCAGTGTGTTATCAACATTATTCTCATCCTAAATCCAAAACACAGCACTATACTAGCTACAGGGAAGAAAATTAACTCTATCCCAGCTGAAACCAGGACACTTATCTACTAAGAATTATGACCACTTCCTCTAGGTCTTTGTGGATTGTTATTTCCACTAGGTAGAGCTAAAATAAATTCTCTGGGTATTTTCCAATTAACTTTTTCACTCTGGAATGGTAAATGCATCTTAGTCAATGCTGGATAAGGCAGGCTGCATTAACATGGTAATGAAAAAAATCCTATGAAGAATTAATGTGACAGTGAGTTAAAAAAACCCAACAAACCCCACAGCAATAACTGCAGATTTTGTATAGGTTGAATTGGACCCATTGATTGTTTTTCACATGCCACAAGGCTGTGAATTCACAAGGAGGAAGGTCTGGTTTTAAGGTGCCTGATGGCTGATGAGCAGCATGATGCTGCATGATGCAAAATGTGAAGCACTAGTATATCCTCATGCTGCTCATCCAAACTTGCTGAAAAAGTTGAGGAGGCTTTATGGAAATTGCACAGGGCTCACATTTTCTTGGCAGATGGAGAGAGGGCTTAAATGCTATGAATGTACTATGGCAAAGTCAGCAGAAATGTGACATTGTGCTCATATGCTACAGATTGAATTTGTGCTGCCGGCTGATCTGAGCGTGCATGTAATAAACTTGGAAGCACAGCCGAAGACTCTGATACTGTTTTCTTTTTAAGGGAATTTGTGGTTTTAAAAATAATTTGAGTTTTGTACTAAATTGCCTACTGATACGGAGTTTACTGTGCTAGAACCTGCTGACATTTTAAGCTATAGACTAACTACAAAGTACATCACTTCTAGCTTGGAAGATAGAGTTTCTTGGAAAGCCTTCAATTCATTTCTATATTGCCACAGTTCAAACACAGAAAAACTCTTCTTCCTAAGGTAGGGAACACAGATCATCTTGATCTACCTTTGCTTTCTGTCAACGTTTTAAAGACGGTGGTAAATTTAAATTGGCATTCACATGTTTCCCTCTGTGTCTCTAATGAATCCAGTTAGTTTTGGATGATAAATACAGTGGAACAAAGACTCTAATTAGAGCAAGGTATCTTTCCTGTTGTGATGCCTGTTGGAGCACCGCATCTCATTTCCGCTGCTGAGTTTATACTGCAGTGTGACAGCAAAGGACATTTTGTCTGTTATCTGGTGGCTTATGAAGTTTTAAATACCTCTTGTACCATCTCTGGAGGGGGTGCCACCTAAGCCGCTTTGTCTCAGTTTTCCTACATGACAACAGATAAATCCACTAAAGTAACGGAAAGAAACCGTCTGTGCCCAGGAGGACAGAGATGTCTGTTTCTTCAGTGTGAAGTTCATGTGCTTTGTCACTGGGTGCACGTCAGCCACAGAAATCCCTTTACTTTTCTGCTTTCACTGACTAACTTCGACCTGTGATCAGGATGTCCGAGGCGATGAAAATAGGTTGTGACCTTTCAGAATGAGGAGGGGTGCTACTGTCCTTCCCTTTGCTCCTGCTTTCCCCCGGCTTATCTTAGTCATCGCAAGGCTCCACTTAGTAATAAATAGCTCAAGGTAAATGGCCAGCAGAGGCCAACAGATGAGGAAAAATGCTTCCCTGAATGAGGGAGAGCATGAGGAGAGGAGAGGCCGCTTCCACGCTGGCCAGTGGGAGGCAGGGAATCGGGAGGGAGAAGCCTGGCAGCGTTAGGTCTGTTTCCCCTTTCTTTCATTCTATCTGCCTGCTTTCTTTAACGGTGACTGTCTTTCCTGCACCTGCCAGACACTTCTACGGAGTGAAATAAGGGCAGAGACACTCCTCCATGGGCAGAACCGTCTGGGGTGACACAGAGCCATGCAGGCTGCAGGCAAGACAACTCCCGAAGTTTTCATCTTGCATGCATCACTGAGGGGGTACCTTGAGGTCCAGTTGGGGCTCCAAAGGATCCTGTCACTTTTCAGTTACAAAATTTGTGGCAATTCAGAATATTTTGGATAGGAAACCATTCCTAATATTAACTCGGTGTAGAAATGGGATATGATACTTCCCTGTGTCCAGTGTTAGCTAGTTTGAGTTTGAGATATGGAAGAAAAATCAGCCTTGGATTTATTGGTAGAAGCCACTGCTCTTTTCCCCTATGTTGTACAGAATCAGGAGCGTGTTTATAACGGGATTAGCCAAGTGCATCCTGCAGGGTAGAGAGAGTAGTATTTGGCCATTCTTGTTTTATAGCAGCTTTTATCTCTTTATTCCTTTGTATCTTGTTCAAGTGTCTTTCCTTGGCTGCTTTAAGCAGAATATAAGCAAGCTGAATACTGGCAATGCCATTTTATGTGATCAAGGATGGACCGTGAGCTGAGCAAGGTGGTGTATAATGCTGGAAATATTCGTGTTGGTATGTGGGTGCAGCGTTGTCTGTGGTGGCAGTATCCTTTCCAGGGGCTAGAATTACCTGATCCTGGGAATGTAGTCTTACTCTGGTAACATGATATGTTTGTTGAAAGGAAGAGGCAGCTATTCCTCTGGATGAAATGCACAGTCAGTATTGGAAGGATTTAGCAAAGTGAAAACAAATAGTAAGCGTCTTTCTGTGAAGCTGTCCATGTGAAAGGAAGAGGAAGTTCCCTTACCCTTATTGTGGGCGAAGAATAACCACATCAGATATTACTACAGAACTGTTAACATTTGATAAATAACACCCTGTGCTAGTGGTCTCTAAATTGCAGTGTAGGCAAAATGAGATTTGACTACGTGACATAAGTAGGCAAATGGAATTTTGAAGATAGTTAATCCTTGCCTCTTCTTGAACCTCCTGAGAAGCAGTGCTTTTTGAACAAATCTCAGTGAGAAGACGTCACAGTGACACTGATTCTGCACACACAACCCTCCCCCCCGTCTGTTTGGTTGGGAGTGTTTTCTGTTTGTCTTTAACCTGCAGCTGGGGCACCTTGATCCCGAAGGTAGAAGAAGAATTGGTTTCTGCAAATACGGATATGTGGTGTTGCAGGCTGCTTCTGGCAAGTTGACTGCTACATGACATCTGATGTGAGGCTCAGAAGTGCTAGTGTGTGTGTGCCTGGATTTGCAGCGTAAGTCATGACTCAGCAAAATGGATGCTTGGGGGCTGCAGGCTACTCCCAGTGCTGATTCAGAAC